ATTTTATTATTATTTTATTATTTTATTTTATTATTATTTTATTATTTTATTTTATTATTATTTCATTATTTTATTTTATTATATCATTATATAATTTTTTATTAATTTATATATTATACTATTAAATTAGCGATATCTCAAAATGTTTAATCACAATTTTTTCAAAAATTTTCATTCGATCGCATCCAATTAATAGGATACAAAATAACTTCTTAAAATTGTTCCTCCATTTTTTCAATTTCATTCTTCAAAAAAAGGAAAAGAAAGGAAGAAAAGGAACGTTTAGAAATCGAAAATCGTTCCCTCGGCGTTACTCACCGCTGTTGAACAAACGGCGGTGATGATTAAAAATACACGACTCGCGAGGATTGTTCGGGCGGAACAAACGGATGTTATAAAATATTGAAAAGGAGGTGGTGAAAATTTGGCGGTTCTCCGTACACGTTGTTTGCCTTATCCCCGTTTAAACAATCACCACGAATCGTCGCTATTATCCTGACGCGATCGCCGCGGCTGAAAAGCAAATTGCCACCCGTCCCGCCAAAATTGATTTCCCTCCATTGAATCCATCCCATCCCTGTTTTCGAATCTCGCGCGGTTAATTGAAATCCAAGCTTCTCTTGGACAGAAAAAAAGAAATAAAAAATAAAGAATGGGAAACGATGGAGGACAATGAAGGCTGTTTTCACCTTTTCTTCTTCTTCTTTCCAAATCAAACTTCACGTTTCACTGTCGTTGTCTGTTACAAAATCGGGTGACGCTTTCGTGCGAAATCTTTTGTGCATCGAATCGAAAGAAACTTTTTTTTTTTGGAGAATTTTTAAGTTTCGATCCATCGGTTTCTATCTTTCTTTTGAATTATTATTTTTTTTTTAGTATCTTCCGTTTATAATCTCAAGATATTCGAAGAATGTTCAATTGGAATGAAGAATATATGAAAAATATTTGAGTATATATTTCTCTTTTAATTGAATACTTTCTTCGTTAAATAAAATATATCTGATATAATTTTAGGTCTATCTGTATAAATCTAAAATAATTTCCAAAATATAATTCACGTTATAACAATAGATGAACAAATAATTCTTTACCTTTTATTTTCTTATCTGTATAAAAATATAATTTCTCATAAATTATTCCAGTAACATTATTCTATTTCTAAAAACTATTTTTCCTAAATTTTTCAAAATAACTTTCAACTATGTTAACACCACGAACAACGATCATACGTACACGTCTCTCCACGTAAAACGAACGAGAATCATTTTTGCGCGAACGTTTTCCTACAATTTTCTTCCATCGTGTAAGGAAGATACGCGCATAAACTTTCGACTTTACACACTTGTCTTCTTCTTCTTATTATTACTTTTTCCTTTTTTTTCTCGAGAGAGGCCACGCCTCGATACGTCTCGATACTTGTCCAACGATACATTTACGCCCGTTTCGAACATCTTTCCAGTGACTTTTCCTCAATGGTTGTTAAATTGGAAAAGCAGAAATACGCGAGGCAGTGTCTACCCCTTTCCACGTTGAAATGCACGAGTTATTTCGAGTATTATTGGGCTTTGATGGCGCGCATGAATTTTAAAGTTTCGAATAAAAGCTGTTAAACGGGAGGCTGTTTAAGGCGAAATGACCGGAGTTTTTAACACATTGAGAGATAAAAATGCGGGAGGGAGGAAGGGGAAATGTGATATCCGTGAAAGGTGGTATTGAATTTATCGAAATGGAATATCGAATGAAATATTTTGGTGGATATTTTTTAGGGAAGAAATTGATCTATTCGAATGTTTTGAAAATTAGTAAAATATTTTAAAAAGATTATCCCTTGTAAATAAATATCCACGGTCCACGGTGTTTTACTCGTAAAATAAATTTAATTACGAGGCATTAAAATCATCGAATATTACACGATATTTAATATTATTAAAATATTTAATGCTATAATAATTATTTCAATATTACTTACTTTCGTAGACGTTTATGCAAATTCATCAGACCAATTAAATTCCTAATTATGGAAATGGAATTTAAATAATAAATACTCGATTCATTCTCCAAATAACACGATACAATATCTATACTTCATGTTTAAATGTTTTATTTATTTTATCCTTGTATATTTCTCATAATGTCCATTTACCCGTTCGTTCTTCACTTCACAACGTCTAATGAATGAAAAATATATATATACATGTATTTTTTTTTTTTTTTTTTTTTTTTTTTTTTTTTTTTTTTACGAATAAAACGAGATGCAAAATCGTTAACCGAATTGAGAATAATGATGGAAATTCGTTCTCGTGTTTCAGGTATCGGCGAGTACGGCTGCCACAACCAATTTCTGTAACACGTAAGTTTAACCACGATATTTACAACGAGATTTAATTGACGGAATACTGGCCGGTCAAATATCGAGCAACGACAAGATTAATAAATCACGTAACTTTAGTTTCCCGCTAATGCGCCGTTTTACGATCGGCTCATTGCCACCAAGTGCGTCATAAAGAATCTAATAAAATTCATCCGTCCCGGATATACTGTCTTCGTATGAATTCGTGCCAGATAACTCCGTTCGTTTGTTTCTCGTTTTCTCGTTCGAACGATTTTCTTTTTTTTTCGAGAAAGAAAAGTAATTCGAAGAGAAGAAAGAATTTCACGGAATGATTTTTAATTCTCGTAGCCTCGTATCGAGCTTGTGGCAATTTTTAATTATATTTATATGGCAACATTTTTACAGATATTCGAAATATTTCTGAAAAAAGAAAATACTTCGTAAAGAATTTTTAAATTATAATACGATATGAAATCGATTTCCTTAAAGATTCGATTCCCTTTGTCGTTGGGAGAAAAAAATCCAATGATCAAAATCCTAAGAGAAAATAATTAAAAGAATCATCAATTTACAAATTATCATAACGTGGAACGTAACAAAAGAAAAAATAAATAAATAAATAAATTCCTTCGATAATACTCGATAAACGAATCACCATAAATCAACAAAAGAAAAATAATACGTATTTTCCAAATAAAATTTTCAATCGAAACGTCGACTAGTTGAAATAGTTAAAAAATACTCGTCCACGAGCGGATGAAAGAATCCAAAAAAAAAAAAAAAAAGAGAAAAAAGAAATTGAAACACATCGACATCAAGAAACGAAAACGAAGAGAGAGAGAGAGAGAGAGAGAAAAGAAACAATTTCAGGTCTGGAGGGAGGATTACCTAGCTTTTGGAAATATTTGTGTAACCCAATTTGTAGGAGAGACGAGGAAAGGAGGGGAGGGGAGGGTTTTTTTTTCAGAGGCTAAGAATTTCCACGGTGTATTTTTTTAAAGCAAACAAACCAGAGTCGTTAACCGTTAAAAAAATCTGGACAAAAGCGTTCTCTGGAAAGCGTTCCAGAAGCGATTTGGAATTT